CTATGCCGATACCGAGGGAGGAGCTATCCTAGTACTTGATATTATCGAATAGTTCGGTAGGAAAGTGTATAAACTTCTTAAGGAGGAGGACTTCTAGGGAAATCGATAAGTTCTGCCTAGATCTAGATAAAGACATTCTACTAAGCAGTTAGGGAATTGAACCGTAAACGAAAGGATGAAATTCATACCTAAGGAGTACAGTTTCTAAACTGAACTATAATGCCTTATATATGTATATATGCTTTTGATTAGTTAGTGCCCTTAGCTAATTGTCTATAGATTTGAGGTTATATAAGTACCTTTATATAACTACGTAGCCTAAGTAGGATTCGAAAATTCTATAAGTACTAAGGACTAAAAATGCCGGCTACGCTGCCGGCTACACTGCTAAGTCTTACAAAGGGCTTGCTTGAAGCTACGTATACATTCGTACACTTCTTAAAAACCGATAAATTATATAGTTCGAACTAGCTACTTATATAGTTGCTTAGCAAACCAACCTAAACTAAACTAGAGTTTCGGCTTAGTAAACCAAACTAAACTAACCCGAACTACTACGGGGTCTACTTAGTTATACTATTTAGTCTAGCTAATACCCCTGCAACATTTCAATCCTATATTAATCGGGCCCTTTCGGGTCTATTAGACTATCTCTATATAGTTTACCTAAATAACATCCTAGTTTATATATATTTACCTAACATTGCGGAGCACTAGGCTATAGTCCGTAAGGTACTCGATCGCCTACGAGCCTATAGCTTATATTGCAAGCCTTCTAAATGTACCTTTGCTACTAAAGAGGTGTCCTTCCTTAGCTTCCTCGTATTAACCGAGGGTGTTAAGGCTAATCCTAATCGGATTAAGACTATTACTAAGTAGCTAACCCCTACTAGTATTAAGGAGCTTTAATTATTCCTCGGCTTCGCTAATTTCTATCGTCGCTTTATTAAGAGCTATTTACGGCATATAATGCCCCTAACTAAGCTTACTAAAACTAAGGCTAACCCTACTAGAGAATTCAAATAGACTAACAGAGCGCAAGCCGCTTTTAACGGCCTAAAGCAACGCTTTACTAAAGTCCCCTTATTATACTATTTCGTGCTAAGCAAACAGATCCGAATTGAGACTAACGCTTTACAGTTCGCTATATTAGCTATAATGTCTTAGCAGTTAGATAGTAACTACTACTAGCACCTAATTGCCTTCTTCTCGAGGAAGATAATTAATGCTAAGCGTCGCTACGAGACCTACGAGTAAGAGCTCTTAGCTATTGTTAAAGCCTTTAAGCACTAGCGCTACTATCTCGATAGTGCCTAGTATACTATTTAGGTCTATACGGACTATAACAACCTCCGTAGAGTTACGAAGGTTACTAGAGTTATAGGTCGACAGGCTAGATAGGCCGTCTACCTCGCTAGGTTTGATTTTGATATGTTATATCGGCTAGGCGTAAGTAACCCTACTAATAGCCTATCGAGGCGACCTAATTACGATAGCGAGACTTAGCAATCTATTAATTTATTGTTTCCAACCCTATAGTATAAGATTGCTATAGCCCGTATTATTAATAAGT